GATTCCTAGAAATGTCTTTACCTTTTAAATCATCCATCTACTTTAAAACAGCACAAAGGGAACAGTCTGAGCCTTCCCTTTTTTTTTTTAATCATTTATTCACAGCTACTGTTTACTGACTATATTAGGTATGTGGGCATTATAAAAATAGCTAAGACAATGGTCTTGGCCCTCAGCTAATGAGAGCTTTAAGGTATGTGTTAACGCTAGGCAGGTAGTATCTATACATCAAAAGCTAGGCCACATACTGTCTTCTCTGCTCAGCACTGGAGGATTTGAGAGAAGGGAAAAAGTGACCCTTCTCTGCCTCCAAAGAGCTTGTAATCAGTAAAGGAGATGAAATTCACACCAGAGTCAGAGTCTATTTTATAATAAGCACATGGTATAGACATTTAAGTGCTATAGTGACGTGGAAGAGGAAGAGATTATGAGATGGGGAGTAACGCTGGAGAAAGGACCTGAGTACAACCCACACGTCTGAGAGCCCTGGGGGAGGAGAGGCATGTTAGGACTGAGGGAGTTGACCAAGAGCTTTGAAAGCTGAGGTCAGCTTTCAAGTATGAAATTTTCCCCAAAGTCAAAGTACTATACAAGTAGGGCAAAATTAAATCTTAAGTGACATCATCTGAAACTTGCCTTTTAGATAAAATTTCATTGTGTATATGATCAAAGATTTTACCAATCTGTTGCCATATAACCCAATAATTTTTCTTGCATCTATTATTATAATACTGCTGCTTAAGTTATCACTTCCTAACTTAAAACAGCTTTAGTGAGTATATGCCATTTCCTATCTCTGTTCCCTGTCTTTAGACTTTCTCACATGTATTTCTCTGAAATCCCTTTGTGAGTGTTGTCTCGTAAGAACAGTATGTATGAAGTGTAAGAGCAGACAAGGGAGGGAAGCAGCAGGCTCCTTCCTACTCGTCTTTCTTCTTCACGTCTGCTACAAGTGTAATCGTCCTGAGTCTGAGAATGCGACATGTCTCCATGCTGCTGCCTTTCTCCTTTTCCATTTTCACCATTAGTTTTTGTCAGGAAGTCTGCATATCTCCTTTACCATGAGATTCTAGCAGGGGAATAATTTGCCTGGTTTACCTATCTATGCCCATAAGAGCCACTGGTATTTTTATTTCACTGGTCAAAATGGAGAGATTTAAGAAATGTGATTTAAAAATGCTTTTATTTTGAGATTACTTCCTTGATTCTTGCTTCATGAAGGCAGTAAACCACTGCACATTGAATTTCAACATTTGTTTGACTAGTTTCTTCGTAAAAATATGGTCTAAATGACTGACCCTTTATGCTGCTATAGAAATAGGTTTATAAACTATAGCTTAATAACAGTGAATGAACCCTGGCAAACTCCTTGTATTAGTAGGAAAGTGACAAATATAATATGCTTTGCATATTGTTTTTCTGGCATAAATTCTTCATTAAAATAAGTAGAAATTGAGCTTTATTCAACAAAATAGAGACATAGGAATATTCAAAATTGAGAAGCCTAAATCTAAAGCTTTTAAAAGAAGCAAACATCTAAAAGAATATTTACGCAGAGCCAAAGTCCAAAACTACAGAGAATTCTATAAATTATTTTACCAAATTATCTAAAATATTATTTGAAAAAAAGTTAGTTTCTGGATTCTAATCATTTTATCAACCAAAAAAGAAAAGAATTTGTTTTCTTAAAATACACTATAAATCACTATACTTGACAAATCTGGGTCCAGTATTTCAGCAGCCAGTTCACAGAAGAGGAACCCCAGTAAACACTCGAAAAAATGTTCATCCTCACTTGTCATCAGGAAAATGTAAACTCAAATCACAATGGCTTATCGTTTCATTCCCATGAAATCAGCAAAAATTTGCAAGTATGATATCCAATTTTGGCAAGGATGTAGAACAATGGGAACTTTCAGGCCTCCTGTGGAAATGTAAACTGGTAGAAACACTTTGGAAAACAGTTTAGTGTCCTCTTAAAGATGTGCATATTGTAAACCCAGAAATTCCACCTCTTGGTAATTACATTATAGGAAAATTCTTGCTCATGTTGACTAGGCAACATGTATAAGAATATTCAATGTAGCATCATTCATAATAGCCCAAAGAAACCTGAAAACAACTTAAATATTCTTCAGTGAAATTTTAGTATGTCCTATAACGGAATATTATACAATGGTTAAAAGGAACAAACTAAAGCGTATATGTGAATAAATCTTAAAAACATGTTGAGGGCCGGCCC